AGTATTTGATTATTTTTCCCGTAATGAGACATCGGTTGTACCAAATACTCAAAGGTGATCGGTGTATTTTTCCGGGTTAGGGTGATGTGTCTATTCACCATTGTACGATCATCTGGAAGCATATCCGGAATATGGAGATAAAACCTATTGCCGTAGAACAATTGAGTAAGAAAATTGAACCTACATGTCATTGTGCGAACCTTACAAGAGTATCGTTATTTCATGTAGCTGGAATATGGAGATAAAACATATTACCGCATAGCGATTGAGTAAGAACCTTACAAGAGTATCACTATTACAAGTAGAGATGCAAACATATATACAATTGTAGTATGATCCCACGTAGTTTAACCATGAGTAGGGGATACATTGGATATATGACATACATGATATGATATATTGTAATGTTTGAGCTAGATAATATTTCCTTACGATGGTGCCAGCTACCCGAGGGTAGTCTGAGATTGTGATAAATTGTTTTATTATGATTGATGGTAAAAGTTGTAATATTTTTGTTTGTGATGATTGTTCATATATAGGTCTGAAGTTAGTAGTTAGTGATTCATAGTTCGAGATATATAGTATATACATGAGGGTTTTCTTGTTTGGATTATTTCGCTCGACGTACCGATATCGAGTTGTGAATTTCTAATTACTAATTTCACTTACATTTTTATTCTTAGTTGAGATTGATATTTAGCGATTCATAATTTAGGATACGAGGTATATACATGAGGATTTTCTTGTTTGGATTATTTTGCTTGACGTACTCATTCTCATGTTATGAATCTCTAAATACCAATTTCTTTTTAGTGTAGTGTTGATGACTTTTATACTTATATATACTAACCAGTATTTTCTTATATACTACTACTCATTATCCTTGGGGGCGGTAGAGATGATCTCGCTAGCGCTTTGACGCTCGTTGTTTCCCCTCTTTTCAGGCGGCAAGTTCAGCGCACGGAGAGTCGCAGGTTGATGTGATTTCGTCTTAGATTATGAAGGGTCAAAACACGACGGGTTCACCCCAAAATTGGTGTGTTTGAGTTTAAGAACGTGTAGATCAAGTTCAACGGAGCGGATCGTAAAAAAATATTAGGGAATGATGTGATTTTAGGCCGCGTCCTTAGGTGGGAGCCTAGGGTGTCACCTTAGATATATATTGTAGTTATTTACAGAGCTCCACAGTAGTTGTTCATCTTTTGACTCTAGAGATTATATTTTTATTTGTAGAGGTAGTGTGACTTAGTGAGATTTATATAACTCGTTATTTTAAGACATGGTACATTTATTCTTATTATATTTCAGTTGGGCTCATTTGTTGATCATTCTCATGCTTCTTCTATGTATATTCTGTTCTTGTACTATTTTCATTATTTGCCTGTTTTGTACATTCACCTATTTGTTGATTCTACCAGAGAGATAGTGACTGTGATGGTAAAACATATCGTAGCATGGTGTTAGTGCTTGATAGGTTTGACAATCCAAGTTTTACATTAGACTGCAGCCTTGTGTGAACCCTAGGGCGTCACATTACCATATTATCTTGAAGCACTCAAAAAAGAAAATCCGGGGACAGTGTATGAAGTATTATCAGATACTGTTGATGGTGGAGATAGATGATTCGCAGGGGTATTTTGGGAATTTGAGCCTTGCGTTGAGGGAGTCAGATATTCTCGTCCTCTTCTTAGCATTGGCGACATTCACTTGTACGGTAAATATAAAGGTGTTTTTCTTGTTGCAACCGGAGTAGACGCAGTTGGCGGTTTATTTCCTTTGGTCTTTCTAGTGGTTGATGTTGAAAACCTGGAAAATTAGGCATGGTTTTTTGCATACATTAGATATCATATCCCTAGTGTGTGAACGCGATTGATTACATTCATATTTGATAGGATGAAAAGAATTCCAATATCACTCCAATGACATTTTCTGTCGCCACATCAATATTGCTATTGCTTGCGACATATTATGGACAATTTTAAGAGAAAGCATGGGCAAGTGCACTTTCAAGATCTTCTTTGACAAGCTGGATGTGTAATGAAAACAATTAGTTTATGAGCAACTACGGGAGAGGATTAAGTCCATTTCACAAGCTGTACATGATTGGATTGAGACTAGTTTAGGTCCGAACAATTTTGATAGGTGGGCCTTATGTGAAGATGGCGGGAAACAGTTTTGTATGATGACCACTAATGCTTCTGAGAGTTTCAATTGTGTGCTTAGGGGAGCATGCTGTATGCCAATGCAATCCTTATTTGCAAAAATATTTTATAGACTTAATAAATTCTTCCTCAGATGACGCACACTTGGAGCAAATATCCCGTCAGAGTTGACGCCGAAAGTTGAAGGCATATTAGCAGATCGAATTGTGTAGGCTCGATCATTTTATGTCGTTAGATATAGTTTTAATGAATGGGAGGTCATCGAGGGAATATCACATAGAGAAAATTGCTCTTATAAAGTTAATATGCTGGTAGATCAAACTTGTACATGCACTTGTAATATACCGTAATTACAATGGCTTCCTTGTTCCCATGTCTTACCAACTTGCTCGGATCTACATGGGGTGCAGGGATTTCACATTATACATTCACCGCAGATTGGTATTCAACTTTTAACTATCAACAAACATACAAAGAGTGTTTTCGTCCATCATATGATAGTCAACATTAGACACGATTTGAGGAGTGGTACGATGAAGCTACCGTGGCTTCGATCGATATTTATGGGAGATATACCAGTTGATGTTATGGATGAGATGATTTAGTATTATGCTCGTGCTTATATATTGCACATGATAGGGTGTATGTTATTTCTTGATGCGAGCAAGAATCTTGTACATGCACGATGGCTGTCACTACTCGAGGACTTTGATGTATACATCACTTTATCATGGGGTAGTGCGTTCTTGGCATACCTTTATTTAGAACTAGGTAGGGTCTCCTTGATGCAAAATAGAGAATTCAAGGGGTGTATGACATTACTGCAGGTTTGGTCATGGGAACGCATTCATATTGGACGACCTACTTTGCATGTTCACCGTGATCTATAGGCCCAGTTTCCTTTGCGATGCAGGTATAATTATGCATAATTTTTATTCATATTAAATTTATTCTCATATATTCTTTAAGCCAATTAGATATAACATGAGGCACTCTAAATACAATACAGCGACTAGACATATAGAGTTTTACCGAAATGATCTTGATGGACGCCAACACCAACATATAAATATAAAACTCATTTCATTATTTATATTTTAATTTTTCTGTAGATGCTGATAAAAGTTTTTTTTAATTTCAGTTCAAGTGGGTGCCCTATTCTCCGCCAGATCTCGATATGCATACTCTTGCACCTATCTGTAGAGATAGCGTTGCTTTGTGGAGAGCCATAGTCCAATTGATATGTTGGGAGATTGTAGAGATGCATGTCCCTGATCGTGTGTTACGACAATTTCTTCTTTCTCAGCATGTGTCGGATCTTGTTGACCAAATCGATCGTAGGCGACGAATGACAATGTATTGTACGGACTGTGTCATATTCCATGCGGACTACATAGACAGGTGGGATAATAGGTAGTATTTCATACAGAATGAGAGAATTTCGGCTAAATGGTTATACCATGTATATGCATTGGTATTGGAATATTACACGCGGATGGATAGGACGCGACCCACAACAAGTAGCTGGATGCGTATCACCCCCACCAATAGATAGTTACATCCCTAGTGCCATGATCGAGATGGATTATGTAAGTTTTTAAACTAAATTAAAATGTCAATTCTTTTTTATCAAGATATTATTTGCTAAGTTGTGTATATATTGATTAAATCACAGATCAATACTTTTGATGAGATTGATGCTAATATAAATGAGCATATCAATGACATTCAGGATCCGACAATGTTAGGGATCTTCAATAGGATCAGACAGAATAACAAACGTATTCCATAAAAATCATGTCGATGAGTTTGAAGGATGTGAGGACAGGTCACGCTACTTTGGTCAAGTGTACACGCGAAGACGTAGGACAGGTCAAAGGACGGCGCGTGACGATGGAGCCGGCACTTCTCATAGCGCAGCGCACGCTAATGGAGCCGGCACTTCTCAGCCTCATACACAACCGGATACTCAGCTCATCAAGGCTCATCAGCATGGACAGAGGGGGCAGGGACGGGGGGAAGAGTGAGGGGAAGGGGTAAGAGAGGGAGAGGAAGGAGGAGGGGGGGACTTTTTGGGATGTATGTGAAATTTACAGTATGATTATGAATTTCAAGAATGTATATGATTGTTCAAATTTGTTACTTTTGTGGATCGATTTTTGTTTATATATGTGATTTTCGTGTGTATTGTTTGATTCGTGGTTGAATTTTATGAGTATTGTTGTGGTTCAGTATATATCGACAAATTTCATATTTAAGGTTGGATTTTGATGTATATTGTTGTGAATGAGGCGGAAATTTCGTGTATATTGTTGTGAATGAGGCGGAAATTTTCACGTATATTGTTGTGAAATTTCAAACGCGTACATAAGAAACATGCACATATTCTGTGCATGTTTGGGGCAAACCCGCAACTCCACGGGATTTGAAATCCCGTAAAGCCTGAAGATTTGGCTCCCGTAAAAACATTCGCTAATGACAGCTTAAACTTCGCTGGATTTAAAATCCCGTGAAGTTTTTGAACCTTTTTCCCCATTCTCGACCCAGTCGGCTGAAACTAGATCGAAAATAACAAATATTTTCAAAAAATACCGATTTTTAAAAATATATTTCTAAAGAGGTCTGTTTCCAAGTGCAACTCCAGGTGCCCCTTTCCCCCACCAAAAACATCATATAAAAAAAAAAAAAGATCGCTTGAATCGACAAAAAGAGACTAGAAGGCAGGCGGGCATTTTGCGGGCAGCGCCCCATCGGCACCGCTTCAGCCGACAAAGGCGCCCGCGCATCCAAGCGTCTTCCAGTTTCCACTCTCTTCTACACACGCTCCCTTGTTATATATATTATATATATATATATATATATATATATATATATATATATGGTTGAAGCTTCTTCAATAGACAAATCTTCAAGCTTCTCCTCTAAAATGGGAAAGATGGGCAAATCAATGGCGGCGAAAGCAAAAGCATGGAGATCTACCCCCTCGATCGCTACTATTTCTCATCCAAAGAGTCCGTGGTCGACAAGGATGGGACCCATGAAGACAGGATTCGGCGCTTGCAGTCCAAGTAATCCTCTGGGTTTTCTAGTGTTGAGTGTCTTTTTTTTTTTTCAAATTTAAGTTTCGTTTGGGCTAATTAATTAATTGCTTTTTGATGATGGGGGGGTGATCAGCTACGGAGCTCATGGGCTGAGGACCTGCGTCCGAGGGGTTCTCCTGGTCAGTTCCCCCACTTCTTTTTCTGCTCCGCTGTTTACTCCTGAATTTGGAATTTTTATTGGAATTTTTTTTTCAAGTGGAATTTAGATTTATTTTTTATTTTATTTTATTTTAACCAACTTGGTTGGTATTTACTTAATAAAATGTACCAGTTTCGAAGGGTTCCCTTAAACTTTGAGGTGACACGTAACCAATTCTGAATTTTATTTATCTCACATGATCCTAGCTGCAATTTGGGGGTGTCAAGCAAAAACCCCCAGACTTTGAACTTTTCTCACCGGGCCCTCCTCTACATGTAATTTACATAGGAAATTTTCCTAAGGACCCAAAATAGGGACCAATAGGGGAACAAGTGAGGTGTTCTCCTTCTATTGGATAATGAGTTAGCCATCATTAATGATGACCAACTCATTATCCAATAGGAGGGGGACACCACACTTGTCCCCCTATTGGTCCCATATTTTGGGTCCCTGTAGCAAAGCTCATTTACATAAATAAAATTTCTCCACTGGAAAAAAGCCAAAATTTAGGGAAGGGGATACGTTGCTTGAAATTTGAGATTTCTTTTTATTTTTCTCTCGGATATTTTAATTATTTACAAATTAGGTGTTGGTGTGGTTTTTGAGACATCCAGAGTACGGCCACGGGGTTTCATGAGATAAACAAAATTCCTACATATGCATATACATATACACAACATGCACACGTATATATATAGTTGCTGTATATATATATATATATATATGAAAAATTGTGTCAAGACTCTAAAAGCAATATCTTCATGTGCTGCAGCCCCTTCAATTTTTCCCCATGTGGTTCAGCTCTGAGAAGTGTGACATCTTGTGTTAGGTCTATTTAGAACTAATATGAACTCTTATAAGTCTAATTTAAATCATGTTATGTTTAATTCAACTTGTTTTAAGTCTAATTTAATTAGACTTAACATGAAATTAGACTTAAAAAATTAAATTAGACTAATAAAAAATCGTGTTAAGTCTAATTTCATGTTAAGTTTAATAAAAGTTCGTGTTAGTTCTAATAAAAGTTCGTGTTAAGTCTAATTTTATGTTAGGTCTAATAAAAGTTTGTGTTAGGTCTAATTTCATGTTAGGTCTAATAAAAGTTCGTGTTAGGTCTAATAAACGTTCGTGTTAGGTCTAATTGGAGTTCATGTTAGTTCTATTTCGGGTTCGTGTTAGTTCTAACTCAGTTCGTGTCAGTTCTAATTCATGAATTAAAAATAACACGAACTGAGGTAGTTCTAACTCAATTCGTATTAGTTCTAATTCATGAATTAGAACTGACACGAACTGAGTTAGAACTAACACGAACACGAAATAGAACTAACATGAGTGCCAATTAGACCTAACATGAGTTAGAACTGACAAGAATACGAAATAGAACTAATATGAACTCTAATTAGACATAACACGAACTTTTATTAGACCTAACACGAATTATTATTAGACCTAACATGAAATTAGACGACAAGTCTAATTTAACTTTTTTTAAGTCTAATTTCATGTTAAGTCCAATTAAATTAGACTTAAAATAAGTTGAATTAGACATAACATGATTTCATGTTAGATCTAATAAAAGTTCGTGTTAGGTCTAATAAAAGTTCATGTTAGGTTAAATTGGAGTACATGTTAGTTCTATTTCGTGTTCATGTTGGTTCTAACTCATGTTAGGTCTAATTGGTATTCATGTTAGTGCTATTTCGTGTTCGTATTAGTTCTAACTCAATTTGTGTTGGTTCTAATTCATGTTAGTTCTATTTCATGTTCGTGTTAGTTCTAATTCATGAATTAGAACTAACATGAACTGAGTTAGAGCTAACACGAACACAAAATAGAACTAACATAAATTAGAACTAATATGAGTTAGATCTAACATGAACACGAAATAGAACTAACATGAACTCCAATTAGACCTAACACGAACTTTTATTCGACCTAACACGAATTTTTATTAGACCTAACATGAAATTAAACCTAACACGAACTTTTATTAGAACTAACACGATTTTTTATTAGACCTAACATAAAATTAGACTTAACACGAATTTTTATTAGATCTAACATGAAATTAGACTTAACATGAACTTTTATTAGACCTAACACAAAATTTTAAGTCTAATTTCAATCATGTTAAATTCCTTTTAAGTCTAATTTAAATCATGTTAAGTCTAATTTAATTTTTTTAAGTCTAATTTCATGTCAAGTCTAATTAAATTAGACTTAAAATAAGTTAAATTAGACATAACATGATTTAAATTAGACTTAAAAGAAATTAAATTAGTTCTAATAAAAGTTCGTGTAGTTCTAATTGGAGTTCATGTTAGTTCTAATAAGAATTCATGTCAGTTTTAAATAGACCTAACATGAAAGAGATAAAGGCATTTTGGGGTTTTGTACTTTTTATCCTCTCTCTATGCTGAGTTAGCGGGTAATAATTGCTAAAAGAGGGTTGTAACACAAGATGTCACATTTCTTGGGGCTGAACCACATGGAAAAAAAGTAAAGGGGTTGCAGCACATGAAGATATTGCTTTTGGGGCTTTAACACAAATATATATATATATATATATATATATATATATATATATATATATATATATATATATATAGGTGAAAACTTGTGTCAACTTAAGTGGATAGAGAATAGTGTGTCCACCAAAGTTTTTAACCACTCATATTGCCTAGGGATCCTTGTATTATATAAAAAGGTGTTTTATATTAATAAATGTGTGGCTAGGAACTTTGGTGGACATCAACTTAAGTTGATAGGAGTCTTGACCTCTCGTCTCTCTCTCTCTCTCTCTCTATATATATAATATATATATTATATATATATATATATTATATATATATATATATTAATATTTGCTGTAAGTGATTGTTAACCCATAAAATTGCTGCTCCTCCCTGAACCCTACTGATACTACTTCCCTTAGCTGGCTGTGATCCCCAACCTTCCCCTGTGCACGCATCCACCCATCCATGCACGAAGCCATATATGCACGCGCGTTGGTTATGAGCCGGTGGCTCATTCAACAGAATGAGCACATTTTTCGTTTCTTATAATATGACCCAGGTTCTTTTGTAAATGAGCCAAACAAGAATCATTCAGGCTTGGTCCATAAGGAGTTGGACTAAAGTAATCTATCTTGACTCAGATGAAACGACCTTATTAAGTGTATTTAGCCATATATTTTTATCTAACACTCTTCCATTGTGGGACTAAATTTCTCATCTCATGACTTTGCTAGACCAATTGATCCTGAACTGAATGGATGTGAGACAATCGTAACAATCCTTCGTTGTCGCTCTAATTAAGCATCAAGTATCTTGTGTTCCCTTTCTGATATGTGATGATCAGATATATACTGAAGGCGCTTTTCCCAGTCATATTTTTAGAAAAATCAACAAATCTCATTTATTGTATATATGCTGTAACCATCACAATCTCTTAAAATAGGTCGAATTGTATCAACAACCACATGTTCTACTGTTGCAAGTGAGAAACTCGACCTTCAGTCTTCCAGGAGGCCGTCTGCGACCCGGTGAATCAGGTTAGTCTATATTGCGAGACGTCTAATTTCCAGCCATCGTAATCTCATTTTAAAGGACCCAATATGTTCGGTCTGCAGTTTTTTTAGAGTATAAGCCATTTTGAGTAAAACGCATTAATGCTTTTGATTGAAACAGACACTGCAGGATTGAAGCGCAAGCTCTCAAGAAAGTTATCTCATAATAATAGTGATGACGGTGATTGGGAGGTATAGTTTTTTTGGTTTGGTAATTAATCTCTGTAATAATCGAAACGTTTAATTGCCATTAAGTCTCTTGTCCTATAAGCGGATTATCTGCTTATTACCCCTAAACCTTCTCTTCGAGTCTTTTGACCCCAAGATCTCACATGGAGGTATCTCCCCGTTATCTGTATCCGTCGTGCTGGTTTCACGTGACGTGAAAGCAATTGTCCAGAGGTTAATTTCGGATAGACTCCCTGTACTATCGCCCGATTGCAGATAACCCCCCTGCCGTTGTTGCAGATAAACCCCGAGTGAAATTGTTTTGACTCATAAACTGGAAAATTGTTTTTTTTTCACAAATAGACGCCTTGAGGAATACGCCTTTTTAATATAGGTACAAATAATGGAGATACAACTCCGTTTGAGCATCAGGGGTTCTAAGTGCTAATAATAGAAACTAGGTGTACGTAAAGGGACCGAGTCCTATGGTATGTAGGATATATATGCAAGTAAACCCTAATAGAAAATCTACTCAGTACAACTGGTCCTCCTTCCTCTTTCAGGTAGGAGAATGCATCGGAATGTGGTGGCGCTCTGATTTTGAAACTTTACCTTACCCATACATGCCTCGAAAGCCAAAGGTATCCCTATATGCCTATCAAAATATCCTCTCATATGACAACTTTTAGTTAACTAATTAGGCATGTATTTTCTTCTTAAGGAATGCACGAAGCTTTTCCTTGTTAGCCTGCCGATGGCTTGGCAGTTTGTTGTGCCAAGAAACATGAAACTGCTTGCTGTTCCGATACGCCAGCTCCATGATAATTGCAAGGTCAGATTTATTATTATCATTATTATTATTTGAAACTATGTGTAAATTCGTGTAGTACTATTGTTTTCCGACGAACTTTGAATTGGTTATGTCGCAGACGTACGGCCCAATTATCTCTGGTATCCCTCAGCTGTTATCGAAGTTTACTATCAAAATCATGCAAGATTGAATCAGAGTTGCATACACCAAGAAAGAGCAAAAGATTCAGTAGTCAGAATTTAGTGTTAGTTTTTGTAGTAGTTTAGTGTGTATATATTATGGGATGAAGTGGATATGTTTGTACAAATTGGCGCTATGCTTCGAGTTTTTACGGTTCTTGTATGTGTAACTGTGTGTGCATGTCAATGGAAATGTATTGCCAAAAGCTTAATCAAAATCTATGAAGGTATTTGTATTTGTTAAAAGTTACCAAATTCGAAACTGTATTCGAATATCCATGTCTAGAGTTTTCCGAATTCGAACTTGAATATTTAGTATTTGAAAAATATTTATGAATATCCATCAATATTTGTCGAGTATCAAGTAGAGTCATTCCGCTGAAGTCTTTATGACTTTTAAATAGTATTTAAATTTATAATTAAATTATTCCTTTATAATTATGATGTGTGTACGTTTACTTTGAATACTTCATTAGAAAACTAATTTAAGATAATTTAAGTCTTTCAAAATCAATATATAGAACTTGAGTACAAATGATAAGTGCAACGAAAATATACCATCATGTGTTAATTATACAAAATTGTAAGCAATCAAATTTTAAAAGAATATTTGATAAGCAAACGAATTAAATATACATTTAGCGACGCAGCTTGTTGCCTGTTTGTCATCATCACATGTATAATATTTTTTTATATAAAAAAAAGGAAAAGAAAATCATTATTGGTTTCTCCACATTTGCTTATATTCTTGCTTATATTCTATTCGCTAACGAACTCAAATACTAAAAAAATACTTTATAGTGTTAAATGAACTATCGAATCAAATATAACTATATAGTTACTCAAATAATTAACAAACTATTTGTTAATTATTTGGTTCGTTTCCGACACTAATAGCTAGTAAGTAAAAAAAAAAAAAAAAACCTCCTATCATCACACTAGCAAAGCTTGTAAGTAAACCACACACTCGCCGGTACCACTTTATACATCAAATTCAAGAGTGATTTCCTTCGATATGATCGTCATTAGAAGAGTTGTCTTCTTCAAGAGAAACATACTCGCTTTGATCCCCGTCGCTCGCGGGCACAGGCTTTATCTCCTCCAATTTCCTCTTCTCCTTCTGCACGACTTGCCTGGGCATCACCTCAAGAAGAAAGCTTCCGCCGTTCCAAATGGAGGCCGAGACCTTCAGTATCTGGAATATCACGTGCAACTCATAGGAGAGGAATATGGGGACCGTTAGAGCGAGGGTTGCGACCGTGAAGACTGCTTGGAAAAAAATGTACATGGTCGGTCGGTTCTGATCGCCTAGAAGCCCGCTTAACCGCCACCAGATGTTGTTCGCCTTCTGCGCTTTCTTCGATAGCTCTCTGAAAAACCGAGATAGTAGCCACTGTCACCCTCAATTTTCTCAAGCAGAAAAGAATTGTCTTTTTTTTTTAAAAAATGGACTAACTATGTGGTTTTTGACGACATATAAAAGCTACCGTTGGTCCCAGTCTACAAATTTACCACAGATCAAGCCAATCCATAAGTTCATCAAGAATTCAATCAATCAATATACTATTAGCAAATAGGAACCACCAAGTGCACTGTAAGCCCTCCACCAACTATTCCAACAAATTTATCGGTCTACAGATGCTAAGAGCACAAATATTCCAACTAAGTTATCAGTCTACAGATCCTAAGAGCACAACTTATTAATTGAACTGTGAATATGTCTCATCCGAGATCAAGAACAAAATTTGAGATAACTCAAGTATGGCATTGGTACAACACAGAAAGCTAAAATATGTTCGGAGATATGGCAGAAGCTAGGTCAATCTCAATATATACGAGGTTAATTGCAGACGCACCCCTTGAACCTTAAAAGGTGTAACTTTTTGCCCTCAATTTAGAGAGCAATTTAGTCTTTTATTGTTGAGTTAAGCTGAGATAATGGATAATTTATCATTACATGATTTTCAAGTGACATCTCAACCTATCTTTGAAATAACGTCATCCAGAGTTCAGGGTGTGTACATGCTAATAAACTAGTGTAGGGGTTATACGTGACAGCATCATGGTATAGGGGACGTATCTGCAATTAAAGCTATATAATATTACATAAAAAGAGTGGTGAAGTAGAATTAAAACCTATAAGAAGTCATGACTTTTAGGATCTGTTATTAGTCTCTTCCCATGAAGGAAATTAATGATAGTACATGGTTTTTTTCTGCTGATTAAAAGTTTGTGGTATTTTACCCAAAAGAATTTAATGTATCTTTTTGCACAAAATTGTAATAGTTCATGATTGTTTTCTAAAGTTTACCCAAAGCATAGTCATTATTGCTCTCTTTCATGTCAGTTCACTGCAAATCAAGCCAGTTTCTGTTCTATTCTATACTGAGCAGTTGGACCAATTTCCACTTGTATTCTTTAGAAGAAGTCCTAATGTTACCGATCTCTCTCTAAAAGCATCATAAACCAAAAACTTTATAAAGTACTGAGTTCATCAAGAATTCAATCCACGACCTTCAGTTATTTGGTTACACCAATTGCATTATAATCACTCTCCCAGATTCCGGCCAATTTATCAGTGCTGGTGCCAATATTATTTCATTGAAGATTAAGAAAAGTTTGAGAGACCTCAGGCATGAGAACACTAAAATATGCTCAGTTACTTAGGAGAATCTTGTATACCGCAATATATAATATTACGCTAATAAAAAGAGTGGTGAAGTAGATGTAGGACCTGTAAGAAGTCATGACTTCAGGATCCCTCAATAGCCTTTGTCGACGCAGAACATTGACAATAAGGAAATATAAAAGCTGCCACAGGGTGTATGCAACCAAAGGAACAACAAACAGCCATGTCCATAGATATGACTTGTCCTCAACATATGGCCACGATATCCTTGCTGCTTTTCCCACTGGGTGCATGGCAGCAAATGTTTCTGGGTCCCACCATCTTACAGTGAAGAAAACTATACCTGAAATGAAACATTTTTTATGAGCTATATAAGCCATGGCAAAATGCATTCCATAAGGAAAGACTGCTTGCAATTCCTACCCAAGAGACAAAGATTTACAGCTAGGTAAACAGTTGACAAAGTTCGATGCGACTTAAATCTACTATTGGTGGTAGTTCCTTATATGAAAGGCGTTAATGATGGTAAGCATGAATGTAAACAATTAACAAATGTACTGTTGACCATACTACGCAGCAATCGATATGAAAAGCCATAGTTAAGGGCATGTTTGGCAAATCACTATTTTAGGAAACCTAATAGAAGGCCCTTGTTACTCATATTTAAGAACCCTTCTACAGGGTGTAAATAAACACAGAAAATGTTTGTTAAGTCCAATTACTTATAAGGATCTGCATTAGAGAGCAGAGGAGTCGTTTTTTTTTTCCTCCTTTTCTTTTTCTTTCACTGGATCTGAGATTAGACTTTATCATCATCCATCGCCTGGCAAAGTAGTCTGCGGAGCATCGATGAGAGTTCTTGGAGAACAATCGAAAGGATATTTGGAGATCTAGGGACATGGGATGGAGCTTTTGGATTTGTTAGAGGGCAAAGAATCTTTTCACATCAATATGTAAACCTCCTTAAAAAGGCCAAAAAGAAAAATTGAAATTTCCCAACTTATCACTTCCTTACTTATAAGGAGAAGGTAAATTAGCAGAGTTTACCAAACATGTAACGTTAACCCTCAATAAGGAAAATCACTCTTGTAAGGTAAACATGTCCTATGAGAAAAGAAAAACTTTTTTATATTTTGGTGGGGTGGGGAGTGGTGTAAACATAAGCTCATGAACGTATACCTACTAGGTGATTCCAAGTCTTCATGTAATTCTTAAGCCTTCTCGCTAAAATGTGTTTTACACTTCATATGCACCTCCTCTCAGTTATCAAACAAGGATTAGTCTTCACATTTTCTATTCCATGCAGCTGTATAACATGCGTTTCTCCGTTACCTCTCGTCCTTATCCAACCAAAGAAACTAGAAGAATCCAGCGTTGCTGCCACTGTTCCTCTCCCTTTCTCCTTGTTCATATAGAGTTTTTTTGAATAGCTTCAAAGCTAGAGTTTTGTGTTGGGGCCATGGCCATACATTAGTCATTTTTGGACCTCATGAGAAAGGAGGTCAGAAAAGGGTAAAAGAAATTAAAAATGAAAATGAAAATAAATTGGTAAAGGTAATACAATCTTCTACAAGAAATCAATATAGTGAAGCAGACACAAATTAATAAACAACACAATTTGATAACTTTTGTAAAGGGGAACTCAAGCTGTGTAATTAAAATATCACTCGCCAATTGCACTCAAGATGGCACAAAAATCTTCAATATAAGCACAGTACAAGGAGGTCTCTCGATCTATTTCCATCTAAAGTTGCATATAATAAATGCGCTAAGAAACAGTATGCTTATCTGCATTATATTAAGAGGATTACAGTCTCACCAGGTAAGAGGTGTATTAGGACACTGACAATCTTATCAACAGAACTGAAAACCAAGCTACAACGCCAAACGATCAAAGCCCAAGCCAATGGACCCTGCAAAAATTTAGCTGACATAATGAAATAGATCTTATGAGAAAAAAATTACACGGCATAATAAAAGAATATCTCAGTGCTTACTTCAGCAAATGAAAAGCAGACCATGAAAAGCTTTTGATTCTTTGGGTAGAACAGGAGCATAACCAGGAAGATTGTATTAGCATAGTAGCAGAAATCCTGAAATTTGAAATTTTCACCATTATCTGTTGTTCAGTAAAGCCATTTCAGAGAAGAATCTGAAGCAAGCAAAGCAGCAGAGAAACATCCTTAATTTACTCCCCAGACGCAAAACTAAATGTAGTAGTAATTGTGTGTAGAAGCAGTAGTACGGTTGTAGTAATCCAAAGGGGAAAACCACCACCACCGAAAATGCGATCAGCACAACACAAAGATTAACATATTCATGACAAGTTCGAGTTTCTACATATAAATAAAGTCAGAATATTCACAATTCCATTTCCTAATCAAGATATTTTAATATTTTATCAACAAACCTATTCTAGATAAGCTTATGATAGTGTTGTGGGAGATAAAATGGTTGTATAGAAAAGAACCCGGTATATGGCAGATCAATTGGTATGATAAACATGTATATGATAAAGCAACAACAAAGGTGAAAACAATTGAAGAAAAGACTAAGCTATTTTGTAGTACCACATATTTGCATCAAGTATCATCTTTAAGCTCTCATTGGTTAAGAACAAATTCACTAGACAAATTTGACACAAAGCCCCAGGAAGTATTTTATCTGTAGATAAATAGTATTAGTTATGGGACTAGAGAAGACAAAGCAAAAATGTGGCGAGAAGCTCTCCAATTCACAGGATTGAAACAGCAAAACAGAACTAGAATACATGGAACGTAAGTCTAGCAAAACTGTGAAAAAGAATGATTTTATAGTACATATTAACGATCAAGAAATACCTAGGAGAAATAACTCTCACTATTCAGGAATAGTTAGTTCATTAAGTCAAGTTCAGATGATTAAAAGTGGAGGAGCAACTTCTGGAATCCTATACGAGATCATGGAGTACCCATGAAATTGAAGGAAAAGTTCTATAGCAGTGCTACTTTATTGATCAGATGTTGATCAATTGAAAAAAAAATGTGCAAAAAGAGGAGCATAACAAGAAACAAAATCACAATAACTGTGTGGATATACACTAAAAGACATTATATTAAATGAGTGCATTTATAGGTCGCTCCCATAGATAATAAATGAGTGATGATAATTTTCTTGATTTTATTGGACCAAATAGAATAGATGGTAAAACTTCAGAAATAAAGGAGGATAATGATAACACTGATTGTAAGTAGATGCCTCAGATATGTGCACAAAGCTAATCCATGGCGAGTCAGGTAGAAAGAATGCACAAAAAACATAGTTCCATGTTTGGAGCAAATAGTAAAACACACATTCTATTAGCTAGGATGGAAACAATAATGTAGATCGCATGTCTTAGCCAAGCAAATGTTTACACATAGCATGCTATATAACTAAAACACAACATGTTGGAACGATGTACAAGAAGTTGGTTTCAGAAGTCCTTACAAATTACAATAGAAACATACTCAAATTACAAATTACAACAGAAACATATTCGACTGTGCAACTTCTAGGATTTAAGTTCACATACAAAGTTCATGATGGCTTTGCTTGCTCATTGAAAAACTACCTTATAAAGCATGCACATAAAATCAATAACAAAGTAATAAACTAAATAGGGGAAATGCTTCTGAAACTTTAACGCAAATTGTGCCTTGCAAAGGGAGCGATGGTAGAGAAATCTTAAAATTCAACTATCGCTTACCAAGAGGTAATAGTGCCATTTCTTGTACCGATAGTATATCCATCGCAAAGGAACAAATGTAAAGTAGAAGAAACAATACACATATGGAACATCCTGGGGTCCTAAAATCAATTAAAATTCAAATTATCAAAATTCAACAATCAAATATCTTAATTAATCACCCAAAAAGGGGTAAAATACTACAATACTTACGAGCTCCCAAGAGATAGCAAAATGCACCAAATCCAAGGACACCCACCAAATGTGTAACCTAAATTCCCAACAAAATCAACAAAGGCACAACATTTTAGAACGGACAAATTCAAAAAGTTTTTACCATATTGGTCTCAGATTCTCATCTATTTTAAAAGTAGTTCCCCAAAATTTGATATTGTAAAAAAGTTCTTCAAAGACCCTTAGTAAGAAGAGTTAGTGTCTTTAGTTTAAGTATTTTAATTTAACCCAAAATGAAAGTAACATAGTTTCAATTTTCTTGTTCGCGTTCAGTGTCTTCAGGACACGCCGCGGCAGCAGCCCCCCCCCCCCAGGCTCAACTCTTCGAGAATTATTAGGTTCCGATCACTATCCACTATCCATCTTCTTAGATAACTCAAATCAAAGCCTATTCTTAAAGTCAATAATGTGAAGGACTTGTTGATGCTATTTCCAATAACAGCGACAACAATAGTCAACTTCTCAAAATAATCATTTCCCTTCTTAATATTCATTTTCTTTGAACCAGAAGCGGAACGACACTCATCAATAACTTCCATATCCGACTCTTTTATCATGTCTGTTGGTGCTTTAGCATACTTTTCAGTTGTCTCATCTTTCTAAAAATTATACACAATCTTTCATAGTGCAGGAGAGATTTGCTCCTCCACTTTTCGGCCCCTTGCGTGACTACAATTTTGAAGACAATTACAATAAATTGATAGTTATTGTCTTCAAAATTGTTGTCACACAAGAGGATCGAAAAGTTGAGTAACAAGCCTTTCCTGCACTATGAATAGCTATGTAAATTTTACAAGAAATATAGGACAATCAAAAAGCATGCTAAGGCACCAGTGAACATTATGTTGTGTAAGAGTTAGATGTGACGAATATTAATGATTGTGGTTTTTGTATCTGCCTTTACTGCCTTTGGTTCAAACAAGAAGAAGAAGATTAAGACACAAAATGATGGTTTAGAGGAGTTGACTATCGATGCTACTATTTTTTGTTGATACCATCGAGAAGTCATTAGTCCTTCATACTCTAACTTCAAAAATAGCTTCGATTTTGAGTTACTCAAGATGAGAGATGTTGTTCTTAACGAAGTCATGAAGATAACTAGCCTGACCATTGAAGAAAAAATTGAAGTTTCCTTCGGGAATTATGCCTTGAGTTGTTGATTTTTAGTATAGATATGACTTTTGACACTTCAAAAACTTGCGTCTTTTTGGAATGTGCAATATGCTATGTGTTGTTATTGGTAACTTTTTATTAAGGATATGATCTCTAGCAAATATAGCCGCCCCAAGCCCTAGCTGCAAATACCATTTCCTCCATTATCTTCTCATGGCTTCCTGAATCCCGTTCTTAACTCACTCGCATATCCTCCATTAAAAAAGAGCAATATGCGCAATTATCCAAAAGATGCACATTTTCACGCTCCATAAGTAACATCCTCACCCCCAAAACCATATTCCTATCCTCATCTCAAAGCTTCTAAAAATAGTTTGAGCTTCAATCCAGAGATGGGCTTCGACCCAAAGATGGCTCCACCCAAGAGATTTCTAATACTCTCAAGTGGGAGGCATTTGTATCCCTTCTCTACACCACTGCTCGTAATCCTCAGGTTCTTTTTCCATATGAAGGGTTGATGGGTGCACTAGGCCCACGAGCATATTTTTTGCGAAAATCATTTTTGCTGTGAAAAGAGCAGATATAAGGTCTACCACATTCTACCACAAGCTTGCCTCTTGGGAACTAGCGTTCAAATTCACACCAACATGATGGACTTAATAAACGCATTTGATGATAACATCCCGATTGTGTACATCATCGGAGAGAAATACTAGATCGAGAGCTATCAAGGTCCCTTGTCATTGAAAATTTCACACTACTTGATGACATGATAGGCTTGGACAACAAATTTCAATCAGAGTATTATATTGCGTGTGAACTAAGAGAACCCGTGGTAATGTTCATTAATGGAGAAGTAGCGGCTAGCAATGAAAATTTTTGGATTCTACTTGTTGATGGTTCAAAGGTAGCAAGGCGCTTGACTTACTCCAGAGATGGAGTAATCATCTCTTTTTAAGGAATTGATCAAGCTTTCCTAAACGTCATGGCTCTACCCTACTATGCAAAGGATCCTGTCAAGGCTATGGAGACGTGCGTTTTCGAGGATACACCACATATTGCAATGGCCCTAGCCTATTCTCAAACTAATCTATTGTGGAATGCTTGGAAGCCCATCACAAGACCTTGCTGCTTGCGATTCAACCACACGACAAATTTGTGGCAAATTCAAGCCTCTATGATTTAGCCTCTAATCAAATAGTGAAAATATAGATGTTCAATAGTTTTTTCGATGAAATTCCTACTGCTTTTGGCAAGGACAAGTAGAGAGTCACCCAATTGCTGTTCTGTATCCCGTGGGAACTATTCCAGCCTGAGAGGTGAGGATTATGATATTTCTAGTTAACAAGTTAAGCACTATTTCTAGATGCTTAACTATTGTTAGGTTTTTTTTTTCTTGGTTATGTTCTAAAAAGCATCTTAGGTTGTGTGATGCTTGTTAAATGGTATAGTTTTTTTTTTTTTACTTGTATGGTAAAATCTATCTTGGGCTTTTATTTTGGAGATGCTTTTACTGCTTTTGTTGTTTGAAGTTAAATAGTAGTTGTTTGTCGTGGGTGAAGTAAAAAATATATGATCTTTAGCACTTTTTGGAACCTTTTGCCTAGGATATGCTTTTATGATTTATGTATATAGTACTATACTAGCTATTATGATTTATTAAATTGTTATTGCTCCTATCCCCCTCTTATTTTTTATGTGTAACATGTTTGGATATGTCAATATATTCATGGATACAGGATATTATTTACAAGTTTGTGGACATGTTGCTGTATGGAATTTGAGTGTTATTAATATGGATGATATAATGTTAATCCAGCACAGGTTAGTCCTAATTCCATATTGACATGGGACTGGGATTCGAGCATCATAATCCTAAAGAGTTTAAACAGAGAACCAAATTTTGGATAAGGATTATAAATATCAAACTCACCTCATCCCTGTCCGAATTGAAGTCTCGTTCCCACTCCCAGTCCCATTAGGAACCAAACGACCCAACACTGCCTATGAATATTTTCGTAGTTTAAACCTTGAAATAGTTACGTGTTTATTTCTGGTGGCATTGTTACTTTTGTGATTGTGAACACATTGTGAAGAATAAAAATGAATATGAAATTTTCAACCAGATATGTTTATTGTGATTATGTTTTGAATATTTTACTATGATATTTGTTAGTAACTTAGTCCAACTTATATTGAACTTAAGAATTTTATTAAAATAATTTTTTATGTTTTGAGATTATGTTCCTAATTGTTAAAATTCTATGATATTTGTTAGTAACTTAGTCCAACTTATATTGAACTTAAGAATTTTATTAAAATAATTTTTTATGTCTTGAGATTATGTTCCTAATAGTTAAAATTATTACAGAAAATTCTATATTTCTAAATTAATCCATAAGAAAACATGTAACCAAGATTATGGTTTATGTTAAATGTAGTATAAACTACTGAGAGGCAAACATTAAGTTATACATATCATTATTTTCAACATTTGTATTAGGTCCATTTAGTCCCGCATCGGCTGCGTGGGGAGCTTGATGTGGGTTTATAAGGGATTTGGATTGCCGTCCCTCTAACAACTAACTTTCCACAAATTTCACAAAAACACCACAACAGGCCCTTAATGGCTTTAGGGTTTGTTGCCGGGTTGAAGACAGAGTTACAATAGGAAAAGAGAGAAACTAACTTTCATTACATTTATTTGGGGTTAAAGTAACCACTTTAATCTAGAGTAACTAATTTGGGATAAACCAATGCTTATTTTGTAATTTTTAAGTTTTAGGGATTTGAAGGACCAACATTTCAAAACCCCATTCAAAAAATACCCATCATTTCCAAAAGGAGAAGAAAAAAAAAGTGAAGACCTTGTTGATGAATCTCTCGTGCTCCTCGGCTTGCTTAGCGATCTTAACAGCTTGCTTCGATAGTATCTTCTTCGTCTGAACAGCTTGCTTCGACAAAATCTCCCTCGTTTGAACAACTTTCTAAATAAAGCAACAAAAAAAATTAAAAAATTTGATAAAAATTGGATCTTTTTTTGGGTTTGATTGCGGGAATACCTTTGATCGGTCGGCGATCCTTTGCCTGACCCTTCGAAATGTCTCCCCGTCGTCGACGCTCGCCTCCGCTTCAGACATCTTCAACGTATGTGAGAGAGAGAGAGAGAGGATTTAGAGAGAGATTGGGTGGGGGGGGCTGTAGAAAAAGATTGGATCGTAGAGGGGCTTATTTAATATTTGTTCTTGTGTGCTTTCTTTTTTGGAGCGACGACGGGCTTCTTTGGCAACGGGTAGCACGTGGATATGGAATCCGGATCATTAGATGTGCTTTACTTTATGGTACCACAAAATTTTTTATTTTTATATTAAATATCACATGTTGCATTTTGATAGAAAATATCATAATATCTCTAAAAAATTTGTATGTTACTATCATCGATCATGCAAACGTGAAAATTTTCATCCGAATATATCTTTATTATGCTTAAATGTTAATTTTACGCTAATAACATTTATTAGATTTGCTACTAAATCAATCAGTTTTTTTAAAAACTTATCTTAATCCTACTTGAAAATAGACTTGAGATATTTCTAATAAAAATTTTAACAAATATTAATGGTTAGAAAGTACTAATAAATATCATATAGAAACATTCGAGTGAAAATTTCTACGTTTTCATGACCAATGGCAGTGACGTGCAAATTTTAAAAACTTTATAGTTTTTTTTTTACCAAAATACAATTTACGACATTTAATTGTTAAAACTAGAAATGTTATGATAATTTTGTGCAATTTAGCCTTTACTTATTGTCCTCGTAAAGTTATAAATCTTAATATTACATCTCTATTATCTTAGATCAGTCCTATCATTTTCAATTCTAGTTTACACCTCAACATCTTCCTCTGATGATTTAGATAAAAAGAGTCATTTTTTTAGTTCGATTAATATGGAACCTAAGATGCGGGAATCTAAAAATTAGAGTGATAAACTCATGCATAAACGAAATGCTTAAAATATTGTTAATAGATTCTGAGTATAGTAAATGACACAAAAGAACATAGGTCATATAAAGCCACTTTGACTCTGACCAACATTAAACAGCGTGCTTTAAAGAAATGTTAAATTTTTACAATTCTTTTAATTTGTAGGTAACATAAAAGAGGCCTAGCATTTTTCATTTTGGGCCTTTCTGTTGATTTCCTCGTAAAAGCAACGACTGCAATTCTTTATTTGCCAGGGGCTTAAGTGCGAAATTCAGAATTCTGAAGTCCAAGAAATCGCTCGGCAAGGGTGGCACTGGAGGCAGAGTTCATTTCAGCGCTATGATTGGCATATTTACACGTGTCAGATAACTTAAATTAAGGGTAAATATCAGAAAACCCCCCTCAACTTTAGATTATTATTATAAAACCCCCTTAACTTTTGAAATATGAGAAAAGCCTCTTAAGTATGGTGATCAATTACAAAATCCCTGTTTAACTTTCAGATTTTACCATTAACATCCTTAACTTTGAAATTTTGTCGGGAAAGCCCTCTAAATCAGGATTTTTTGATAAATTTTAAAAGTTAAAGGGAGTTTTCTGCTAACCACTAAACTTAAGGGGATTTTTGATATTTTGAAAGTTAAGCAGTGTTATAGCCGTTTTAGCGATGAAAAATAAATTCCAATCAATTGCAGACAAGTGTCCAACTTTACGCATAATCAAATCAGTGTGTTAAAGATAATCAGAGGCCCAATCCGATCAACTCGGCACGTCGACATCTTGCGAGGACGACTCGAAAGGCGTCACGTGTCGACGACCCGAAAGACGTTACGTGTTGACGACCCAAAAGGTATTACATGTCGTCCATGTTTAATCACTCACTCGATCGACTAATCAGCCAACACTTTGCAAGGACGACTCAAAAGGCGGTACTTCTCGACCACAAGACGAATAGAAAGGCGATGAAATATCTCAAGCCTCGAGCCCCCTCCTATGCACTGGCGACCAATCACCTCATAATAAATACCATTAAATACATTATGGACGCCATCATTTCTCTGCCCCCAATAGTATTTATTACACATCGGACCACGTCAGCACCGCACACCCCCAATCACTTCGCATTGAATACCAAAGTGACATCTCCTCCACTCATCGGCCGACACCTGTAAAGCAGAGACTGATGTGGCCATCATCCCATACTCGGTCAAAATTGTCATTCTACCATTCTACTACCACTATAAATAAGCGTACTATTTTCAACAATAAGGTAAGATCTTTTTCACTACTGACTGTGCTTAAGAACTACTGCAATTCATTTTTACTTTTTGACTCAAGCAACTCACTAACTTGATCGTCGGAGGAATAACCGGAGAACCCAACCCCGTCCTCTTACGATTTTTCTGGTGCCTTACCGTAGGGTTCTTCTTTTCTTCTTCTGAGCAATCATTGTGATTTGTGAGGGTGTAGGGTTAGGGTTTTTAGGGTTGCGGGTTAGGCGAGGGTTAGGGTTTAGGTTTTGGGTTAGGATTAGGGTTAGAGGAGTGTTAGTGAGGGTGGGGTGGCATGATAAATTAGGGTTAGGGTTAAGGTGGAGGGGTGGGCGTGAGGGTTTAGGGTTAGGTTGAGGGGTTGGGGTTGAAGGTGTGAGGGCTGGGTGCTGAAGTGTGAGGGTTAATTGATTAGGGTTCATGGGTTAGGTTTAGGGGTAGGGTGAAGGTGGAGGGTTAGGGTTAGGTTTAGGGTTAGGTGAGGGTGGGGGTGAGGATCGATAATGGGTTAGCGTAACTATTATATCGCTAATTACTCAGAAACTACACACACCGCACACTCATATTTTCGAGCCGTAGAATACCCCGTCCAATAAATACTATATATAATCTCTTTATTTACTTGTCACATATGCGTACAGGATCGTTGGCAGATACGAGGCCTTCTTGTTCGGTCCGATAACTTTTTTGTAAGCGTATGTGAGAGGGGGCTTATATATAAATATTTATTGGATCTGTCCAGTTTGGACGGGTTAGGTATGCAAACATGGCGTGTATATGTATTTACTTGTGTTCTTGTGTACTTTCTTTTCGTCAGAGTTTCGGCGGCGCTTCTGACAGCCGATCACACACACTTGTCCTATAACTTAAAATGATATATGTAGGGATATGCTCACTTCCATTAATTTTTAAATTATAGATGCGGACAGTTCTTGACAAATCGTTCATGAGCATACCACGTGATCGAAGACATCTAGACACCCGGTACAAGGATGGGATAGAAGCTTTCTTAGCCTACTCTAACACAAACCCTCTACGGTCGCTAAGCGGGTTGATTTTCTGTCCTTGTAAGAATTGCAGGAACGGTAAAATGCTCGCTAGGAGTGACGTAAGTTTTCATCTGTCAATCAATGGATTTGATAGCTCTTATGTATTTTGGAGTCATCACGGTGAAGGCGTCCCGGTGATGCAATCAGAGGAAGAATTCACTGAAGTCAGCAATCCGACAGTTGACACGACTGATATGTTAGAAGATATTCTTGCAGCGCCGTCGGTGAGTGATGTCAACACTAATGATATGTTTCAAGATGTAGATCGATTGATGAGACTTGTTGAAGAAAACGAGTCACCGTTATACGAGGGTTGCACTGAGTTCACAAGGCTTTCTTTTATGCTGAGGCTTATTCATATCCAAACACTCAGTGGGATGGTTGTTACACATTTTGAGATGTTATTAGATTTGCTGAGGAAAGTCATTCCAGGCGGCGAGAAAAGCATCCCCGCGACCTATTACGAAGCTCACAAGATTGTTGATACGCTGGGGCTTGATTACAAGAAGATAGACGCCTGTCCTAACGACTGCATCTTGTACAATAAGGGTAATGAAGCTCTGGAGGAATGTCCGACGTGTCATGTATCACATTGGAAAGGAGAAGTTGTAAGCACATCCGAAGGCGGTGCATCCAATAAGCAGAACAGAATCCCTACGAAGGTTCTCCGATATTTTCCAATTATTCCTAGGCTGCAGCGGTTTTATATGTCTGCCGAGCTGGCTGAGAATATGCGATGGCACTCGACTGATCGCAAAGAGGACGGGAAACTAAGACATCCTGCGGACGGTGAGGCATGGAAGCACATTGACCGTATATACCCTGACTTCGGTAAAGAGTCTCATAATATTAGGCTGTGGCTTGCTAGCGACGGATTTAATTTGTTTGGATTAATGAGCTCTGCTTGGTCTACCTGGCCAGTGTTGCTGACACCGTACAACATGCTGCCGTCGATGTGCATGAAGCAACCGTACATGATACTGTCACTTTTGATCCCTGGAAGATATTCTCCTGGAAATGACATCGATGTTTTCCTCCAACCATTAATTGACGACCTGAAGCTTCTCTGGGAAAAAGGTGTCAGTACTTATGATGCTTATGGTAAGGAGTCTTTCTGTATGCGGGCAATGGTCATGTGGACAATTAATGACTTCCCGGCATACGCTAACTTGTCTGGATGGTCGACAAAGGATCAGATTGCTTGTCTGATTTGCATGTCAGACTATGAGGGAAAGTTCCTGAAGTACAGCCATAAGTTTTGTTATTGGCAACACAGAAGATGGTTGCCTACAGGGCACAAGTTCAGAAAGTTAGTAGGAAAGTTCGACGGCAATCCAGAAAGTAGACCGGCACCACCAAGGCTGACCGGAGAAGAAATATTTGAGCTTCTACATCCTTTACCTAGAAAAATATTTGGAAAAAAAAGATTCAACAAAGAAAATCCATTTGGTGTTAGGAGAAAAACATTGAAGCAAAAATGGAAGGGAAAGGGAAAATCAAAAGGAAATAAGCCTCGCAATGTCCAGTCGCATGAGCGTGTCTCAAAAGGCACCGAACTTCCGCATGGATGGTCAAAATTCAGCATATTTTATCAACTGCCATATTGGAAAAGTTTAAAAATACGTCACAACTTGGATGTCATGCACATCGAGAAGAACATATGCGAGAATCTCTTGAACACTTTGTTGCAGGACGGGAAAAAATCGAAAGATGACTTAAGGGCACGTCGAGACCTAGCAGAATTGAACATTCGTCCGGAACTGCAAGCTATAGATAAGGGCGACGGAAAGTTTGAACTCCCAGCCTCCCGTGTCACACTGTCGAAGGATGAGGTCCACAATATGTGTTTATTTCTAAAGTCCGTGAAGACACCGGATGGTTATGCTTCAAACATTTCAGCAAATGTGCATATTAAGGACAGAAAGATTTTGGGACTCAAGACACATGAT